ATCTGAGTGTAACTGACTATGTGTAGTAATAATCAGATTCATAGAGATTAGAGGCTCATGAGCAAACATCTAAGTGTTAGTAGCATTAAAAATGAGTGTATCTGTAGGAAACAGTATATTTTAAAGTGAAATGGAGATCTTTTTTAAAGGTTAAAAAATCATTCAGTTTTATGTCTTACAGGGTTTATACTGAGTTCAATATTGTGTAACTGTATTAATTCAACTGTGAACCTAAAAATTTACAGCCACTTTTGGAAAGAGATGTATCATTGCTCTGGAAATTGTTGTTGAATATGTTAGAGCTGAAATGAAATGCTTATTCTAATCGTGTGGTTATTAAATAAAAAAATAAAAATAAAGTTTCAAGATAAAAAAAAAAAGAAAATACAATCTGGAAGACAGCCTGCTTAGGTGCTAACTTCACTAAAGAACCCAGAGGTCGAGGGACAGAAAAAATAAATAGATCAGTAACAAAAGCCCCTACTGGGCCCAATGTTTTCCCAGAAACATTCAACACAAGATAAAGGAACAGGATCTGAGGGGCGGAAGGTTTGATGGAGCATTCTCTGCAGTAACGGTTGCTCTTCATGTTGCCAGGAAACAGAGTAGGTCAGGGGAACTTTTTGATGAACCTAAAGAAAGGCCTGAAATGGGATGTAAAGATGATGCAAAACAAAGATTCCAGAGATTCATTGACCATGGTTTAAAAAAAAAAAAAAAAGATGCTAGATGAACCGGTGAGCCAGGCATGATGATGCATGCCTATTATAATCCCAGCATTTAGGAGGCAGAGATCAAGGCCAGCCTGGTCTACATAGTGAGTTCCAGGCCAGCTGGGGCTACAGGGAGACCCTGTCTCAAGAAGAACTCCTCCAAAAAGAAACAGATGGAAGATGAATGGTGAATTTATTTAAGTGTAAGGTTAATATTAATCAACTAGCAATTAAGAGTACAAAATAGAATGTAAATCCCAGAAATTGTGATATTATCTGAATGCTGTAATAAGAACTAATTGGAAACTTGGAGAAGAGTGATGGAGTGACTGAATTGTGCCTATTTCCTCATCCTGCTTAGCAGAAGGTCCCTAAATACTCTGAAGTCAAAATGTCATTAAAAATAGCTATCACAATGTCTTGTTTCTTTAACCTTTTATAATAACTGTAGAGTTTCCTTTTCAAATTAATTATAGTAAAAATCAGAGCTTCATCAAATCCTTTCATTGTATTCTATGTTCCCTAAGATGCTTAAAAATTACATTAAAACTTTAAATTAAAATTGTAAGCACCTACAGTGATTATCAGGTATTAATATTTTTATGGAGAAATTTGGTCATTACTTAATAAAATCTTTTCTTATTAGTCTTCTTTGCATTACTACAGTAATACCTGAAGTAATTTATTTGTGAAGAGGAAAGCTTTATATATCTCACAGTTTGGGGATGTTCCAGAGAGTGTGGTGAATGACAATGTAGGAGTAAATAGTCACATCTCAAGCCAGGAAACAAGAGGGTAGATGGGAAGAGCCCCACAATCCTTTCCAGGGGTAAACTCCCAATGACCCAAGGCCCTCCCATTAGGCCCCATCTCTTAAAGGTACATAGCACTTCCCATTAGCACTACCCTAGAACTCATACCTTTACATTTGGACCTTGAGAGACATTCAGATTATAAGCAAACCATGTATGTTTTTCATTTTATATTGTTAATTGATACATAAAATGTGAAAGTTACTCACCAGAGAAGGTTCTTGCAGCAGATTGCAATTAACACAGAGACCCATAACTAGTCAACATGCAGAAAATAAGGAACTGTGGAGTTCTCAAGCCGTGAATAGGACACCTACTGCATACTCTCTCTTCCAAAGTCTCGGGGATCATTGTGGAAGAAGTGGTGAAATGACTGTAAGAGCCAGAGGTGGTGGATGACTACAAGGACACAGTGTTCCAGACATTGGGGCAGTTACTCATATGAACTCACAACAATGGCAACAGCATGCACAGACCTGCATAAGCTAAAGCCAGACAAAATTCCAGCATGGAGGGGATAAGGTGGACAAGAAGCCCCAGCCCTAGCTGAGGAACTATTTATTGGTAATGGATAGATACTGGGAGAGGGAGAGTCAGTTTTCTTTAAGGGTGTGATGCTGGATAGATTGACCAGGCTCTAGGGGATGGACCCATACCCAAGAGAATTTGGGGAACACAGATTAGACCTGATAGGCCTTTAAGGAAATGATGATAGAGGACATGAAATCAGGTAGGTAGTAAGGTAGTGGTAGCGATGTGCAGGGGCTCTGAATATGCTCGAAATAAATTGTATGAAATTCTCAGAGTCAATAAAATATATAAAAGAATTCCACTATCCTCTCATTTCCTTTCATTCCCCATACATCTTTAATTTGTATAAGCTTTATTGTCAGTTAACCTTATTGTTATTTATTTTGGAGCTTTATTTTCTGTTTAAATAAAGTGCGTACATTGTTACAAAAAAAGGTGAAAGTTAGATGTGTGGTATAATGGGGTACCTTGTGATACATATATGCATCATAGAATATATAAATCAGGTAAGGATGCCTTCTCCTCAAACGTATATCACTTCTTTATGTCAAAAAGTTGCTAACTTTCTGAAATCTAAAATCCATTACTGTAGTCTGTGGTCATCCTGCTGTGCAATAACACACCAGAACTTCTCCTACTTACAGTAACCTCACACATTGATCAGTCCTTCCCCATTCCTCCTGCCCCCTCGTCTGACTCCCCAGACTCATAACCAATTTTCATATGTTAAGTTCTTATGTTCATAACATTCTTTGTCCCACATGAGAGAGCTCATTTGGTGCTTGTCACTCTGTGCCTCGTTCATTTCACTTCACATGACCTCCATTTTATGCACATTGCCATAGATGGCAGGCTTCTACTCTTACTTGTGCTTGAGTAAATATTCCATGATATAAATGTGCATTCTCTTTACCCATTTTTCAGTCATAGATCCTCATATTGTTCCCATCTCTTGGCTGCTGTGAACTTTATAAGCTTGGACGTGCAAATATTTCTTTTCTTTTGGATAAATACCCAGTGGTGGGATTGCTGGAACATGTGGTCGTTTGTATTTTTAATTTTTGAGGATCTCCCATACTGTCTCTCATAATAGCTGAACTGATATACATCCCCACCAGTGGGAATGGCAGGGTCCCTTTTCTCCACATCCTCACCAGCACTTGTTATTATTTGTCTTTTTATGAAAGCCTGTCTTATTGAGATTATTCTTTGTATTTCCATAGTAGTTAGTGATGAGCACTTTTTCATTTACTCAGTGGCTTTTCCTATGCCTCATTTTAAGAAACAGTTTTTTAGATCTATTGTGGACTTATTAATTGGGCTATTTGGGCTTTGCTATTGAGATTTGTGAGTTTTTTTATATACTCTAGATGTTAATCTCTTGTCAAATATAGTTTAAAATTATTTTCTCTCATTTTGTAGATTGTCTCCTAACTAAGATGATTGTTGCTTTTGCTATGCAGAAGGTTTTAGTTTGATCTAATCCCATGTGTCTATTTTTATTGCTGTTGCTTCCTGTGCCTTTGGGATTGTTTCCAAAATTTTCTTATCTATTCCGAAACCCTGGAGTGTGTGTGCTCCTCTATGTTTCCTTCTACTTACTTTATAATTTCTGGCCTTATGTCTTTCATCTTTTTTTTTGTAGCTGGTAAGGATTTCATTCTTCTGCATGTGCATGCCTATTTGTCAAGCACCCTTTATTGAAAAGACCATCCTTTCTCCAGTGCATGCTCTTTGTTGAAAAGCTGCAGACTGGGGCTGGAGAGATGGCTCAGTGGTTAAGAGCACTGACTGCTCTTGCAGAGGACCCAGGTTCGATTCCCAGCACCTACATGGTGGCTACGAACTGTCCTTAACTCCAGTTCCTGGAGAATCCAAAGCCCTCTTTTGACCTCCGAGGCATCGCACGACACGGGTGCACTCACATACATGCAGACAACACACTCATACACATAAAATAAAAATAATAAAATAGTTTAAAAAAGAAAAGCTGCAAACTGTAGATGCATCAGTTTACTTTTATTCTGTTCCACTGCTCTGGGTGTTCATTTTTATACCAGTACCATGGCATTTTGATTACTACAGCTTCGTAGTATATTTCAAAGCTAGGTCCAACAATGCATCCTTCCTTCTCTTTGTTCAAGATTGCTTTGGTTGTTTGGGGTTTTTGTGTTTTCATACAAATTTTAGGACTGTTTGTCTAGTCCTGTGATGAGTGTTTGTTGGAAGGGATGGACGTAAATGTGCAGGTCACTTGGGGGTAGAATGCACATTTTAACAGCATTGAGTCTTCTGATCTATGATCACTGGATGTACTTCCATTTTTAATGTATACACTTCAATTATTTTCATCAATGCTTTATGATTTTCATTGTACAGATGCTTTACCTTTTGGTTAAATGTATTGCTAATTATTTTCGTAGCTATTATAAATAAAATTGCAACACTATTAGTTTTATGTTGATTATATGTTCTTTATAATTATTTTGTCATATAAGCGTATAGCAAAAAATAAATTGGGGTACTGGGGAGCTAGTTCAGCCAGTAAAAGTGTCTGCTATGTGAGCATAAGGAGTTAAGTAAGACTCCAGCTTTCACATAAAAGCCAGGCATGGTGGCACATATCTGTGACTCAAACATGGGCAGGGTTGGGACAGGAAGTTGGTGACAGGCAGATCCCCAGAGCTCACTGGTCAGCCAGTCTAGCCAGTTGGCAGTTCTACAATAAATTATTGTCAGTTGATTGCTAATCTCAGAAAGAAAGCAATGGAGAAAACAAGGGAAGGAGGGAAGGAAGGCTAAAAAGAGAAGTGAAAGGTCTAGAAGGGAAAGAGGTGGCACACCCATGCTTCCATTCCCTCCCCCTTCTGCAGTTGGACACTTTTCTGCTGTTGGCTGGCTTGCCTGCTCATGCTCCGTCTGACTTGCACAACTCTCATTACAGTGCTCTGTCACTTGTGGCGTTGGATTCCAGAGAAGAAAGCAGGTGTGTCAAAGGCTGACTGCCAAAGGCCGGCGCGTCCCCCTCAGTGAGGTGATGTGCAGGGGCCTGCCGGGGCTCCCCCTCATGAGACCTTGCCGGATGCCTGCGTGCAGTAGTAAGTACGCAGTGTCCATCCTGTGGTGTCTCCCTTTTCTTTCTTCATCCCTCAGCACAGCTCAACTCTGTGGGAAAGCAAACCCAACTAAACTTGGACTTCTTTTAAGCAGCAAACAGTAGAGTGTGGAAGACCAAGAAACAGTGCTAAGAAAAGTCAGTTTTAAGAAATACTTGCTTGTGCATGTGCCTTATAGAAGTTAAGCTGATGTACTTCCAGGCTTGCTTTGCCAGGAATGGATCTGTATTCATTACATTAAAAGTAGAAGAGCTGTGTATTTTATAAATAAAAAGTATTTTAGTATTTTTTCTTCTGTGTAATCCAAAACCAGTTAGTATAAAAACATGTTTTAAGTAAATGACAGTTCGGATATTTCCCCCATTAATTACAAATCATAAGCTTGCCATGAAGCTAATATCACGGTTTCATTCTATTCAAAGCTAATGTGCATCACTGTATGTGCAAGGATACATATTTACACACGCATACATTTAAAATGTATGTATCATGTGGAAGGCTCACAATCGATGAAATCAGGACTTTCACGACAGCAGCTGAAAACAGCGGCTTCTGGGTCCAGGTCCTGCTTTACCTTCTTGCTACCTTTGCTCACCTGTGAAATGATATATGTCAGGGATCCCTGCTGCAGTTGCTTACGGTTAAAAAGAAAAGACAGAAAGAATTGGCCCATTCTTGATTTAATACTGTGTGTGTCCTCAGTTTACTGACAACTGTCCTGGAGAAACTCATAAAACAAAATGTTGTAAGCATTAAGTTCAATTAAGAAGTGGTGATATTTATTGACTACGTTCTATAGGGAGTACCTTGCATGTTTTTTAGTTCATTTTGTTCCCACAGTAACCTTGGGAGTTGATATTATCTTCATCCAGAAACAAGGAATGTAAGACTGAGCGAGGCCTGAGGCTTGGCTGGGACTCCATGACTGCCAGTTGGGCCCTCCGGCCTGTTTGACCACAAGTTTGTCTGACTCCTGAGTCCATGCTCTTAGCTGCCATTCTCTGATGATTCATAGACACTAATATTTTTTCCTGGGACTCCTTTGAGAACAAATTTTCAAAATCTGGACACTCTAAAGCCATGAGGTTCCAAGTTTTAAAGTCTCTTGGAATTTAGGAATGTCTGTGGCGAATGGCATAATGTGGTGTTTGTTTTAACCACTTACCCTTCCTATCTGATTTTCATCAGTGACTGGACTGTTAACTGCCTTAGAGGAAACTGAAATCAGTGTTGTAACCAGCAACCTCCTTGAAATAATAGAAGAACACCATGTGGGAATACATTGTGGTTATTAGGACATGTAACATGGTACAGGATGGAATTATAAATCATCTGACAGGCAGGAGAACAAATAGTAAGATTACAAGATTTATGAAGGAAAACAAAACAAGAAAAATACTTTTCCTCACTCTACCTGGTTCCCTAGCCTGCCCACCATGTAGGTCATGGAAGCACTCAAGAGATAAGATGTATGTTCCCACAGCAGCTGCCTTCTCCAGGCTGGCCTTCAATTCTCCTGTGTCCTGGCCCTGGGCCACAATCTTTGATCCATGTCTCCTGCTTGGCTTTGCTGTGACCAACCCCCTCTGTATTTTTTATAGCACATTCTCACTTCTAGCACTACATTGTAGGGCCAGGTGATGAGCAGGGCACTCACCCAGCCTTGTGCCTCTGTTGTACCCATGTTCTCCCCATTCTTCTCTGTAGGACATTTAAATCATTCTCATTAAACCTTCTAAGACTCCCTGTGCAGGTCTATAAAACACCTACCTTATTAGGGCATACCACCAGGTCCTATCTTCTTAGTCAATGTTTGCCAACTTTCAGAACAAACAAGTTCATTATTAATAACCTTTCTGGTGCCTAATATCCCCATTTCCCAACTCCATCAAGTCTGCTGAGCCATCACCACAGCACGACGACACCCAAGCTGCCTGCTCTTGCGCCTTAGCCCCATGTCACTCCTGCTTACTTGGCTAATGCCTCTCTATGACCTCCAGCTCTTCCATATGTTCCTGTTGTCTCCCAACCTTCTGCTCTTGTACTAGAAATTGGTCCTTATGAGCCAGCTTTTTCTAGTCACCCTCTTAATCAACCCTACTGCCTGATCTGTATGCTGTTCTTTAACCTACTGCCCTAGTCCTTGTTTATCTTTAACCTTAGTATTACCTTCAGGTGATTTTGTTTGCCTTGATTTTGGTTCCCTGGCTTGAGCTACTGGGATTTGTAAGAAGAAATAATAAGACCCTGCTGATGAGACTAAGACATATTTATGCTATCTGAAATGAGCTGAGTGATAGTGTGGGCCACCCTGCCCCCATTTCCTAAGGAAGCAATAGCTAGTCACCATAGCAGTCATTTCCTAATGCACTGTCATTTCTCTATGAATGAACGTATCTTCCATTCCGTGCGTAACAGTAAGGCTGTGATGGTTTAATGCCACTCTCACTTTCCTCTCTTATTCACCTCAAATCCCAAACTTGAACTAGAAATATAGTCTTAAATAAGCCCAACTTCTCTACTGAAGTCTAAAAAATGAGAATCTGTGCTTAACTGTGCTGTGCCTTCTTACAAGAGTCCATTTTAGAACATCTGCATTGAATGGTCCTTGGGTTTAAGTAAAATGCATGCTTTCTAAACGAGTTGATATTTCTTGCTCTTCATTTTAAACATTTCGGGGTGCAGTGGGTCCAAGGCATGTGGGAAGGATGTCTTTCACTGCCCAAAGGCCAACAGCACACCATATACTCCAGTTACACCTTGTCCCTAAACATTCCCTGCAAGGCTTTTTTTTTTTAAATTCAAATTCCTGTTCTGTCATATCTAGTAATTGATGTTATTCCCATTTTAGGATCAACCCAAACAATTTCCTTTCCTAATAAACACTTCTCAGTTGTGTTTATGTCTAAAAGGCACCTGACATTTTGGGTAAGATAACTCAATTGAGTTCAGTGCCTTGGTTTTCGAGCACCTCACCATGTGACATTGGCAAGCTCTTTAATATTTGTCTCACTTTCTTCATGTGTAGATGAAAATAGTTGTTTTATGTGCCTTACAAGATTTTCCTGAAAAACAGGAAGCCTATAAAGAGCTTACAAGGAGGGCCAAATTTTTAATTTTGAAATTAAAAATTCAAAAACAATTTTTTTTCAACGGTCTTTTTGAGACAGGGTAGCCTGAGCTGTCCTGGAACTCACTGTGTAGACCAGGCTGGCCTTGAACTCACAGAGATCTGCCTGACTCTGCCTCCTAAGTGCTGGGACTACAGGCGTGCACCACCACGCCCAACTAACATTAATTATTTTTAATGTCATCACTGCCTCCCTTTAATTTTATTGTAGCTGTAAGATAAGGTAAAATGTGATCAAGCATCTAATATTGTGTTTTCTGGGTGATTAAGGTATAAGCTTATGTAGGGTGTATACATAGTTCCTCTAGCTGTTTTCTTCTGTTTTCTATATAGAGTCTCCAAATGCCTGTGAGCATGAACACTAAACACACTTTTCAAATGTGTCGGGTATGGATTGTCCTCAAATTATTATTAGAATTCTACCTGTATTAATTTCCAGTCAGAAAGTTAAAGAGAAAAGAAGGGGTATCAGAAATGTAGTGTTGGAATTTATATTTTTTTAAAGTATAGCTCCTGATTTTTAGAGTCCCAGAGTTTTTGGTGAAAAAACTCAGTACTTCTCTCCAAAGTACTGAGATCAGGTTGGATGAGGGAGTGAGGCACCCAGGCACGCACCCTGTGATGGAACTGTGAAGAACCCTCCTCAGTCTCATCCCTGGGTTATCACAAACATGTTCTCTTCTCTCCATCCTTCAGTCTTGCCTTTGTACCAGCTTGCCTGTTGATCTTTTAGCTTTCTCAGCCTCATGTCTCCACCTGGAACCTCACAAGACAACATGGTTCCCCTCCTGCTGATTTTCCCTACCCTTGTCAGCACTACCTGCTTCTAATAACAACATCTCTACCTCTAAAACAAGCCAGGCACATCTATAGCCCACCAGCACCCCTCTTGGAGCACTTGCATCCCTTTTTGGAACATCCAAGGCCATGCATGTTATTTTCTTTTACTCTATCATTCATTTACCCATTCAATAACCAGAAGGCAGTGACAGAAAAACTTTCATAAAGGAGGAAAGTTTGTACAAACTTCCTTAAGTACCCATTCATCAGATTCATTGGGGAAGGAGACAGGAGAATTTGGAGAAAGATAGTCAAATGGAAAAAGAGGAGGCTATCAAACGAAGTCATAAGTTTGGAGTACTCAAGCAATCAATGAAAAAGAAAGCTTGAGAAAGCAATTCCGTAGGAGTAAAACATAGGCCCAAGAAGGCTTACAGCAAAAGACAGCACTGATGGGCCTTAAACTCTATGCTAAGGGCTTCAGATTTTATTCAGGAAGGAAGTGACATGGTCAGTTCATTTACTCTGACAGCTTTATAAATAAACATGATACCGCAGGCAGGTAATCTAGTTAAGGAGTTGTGGCACCATCCAGATGACAGCAGAGGCAAAGGGGCTGGAATCTGATGATGTTTCAGATGTGTGATCCAAATCTTGATGACTTAGTAGAGTTAGGAGCTAAAGACTGGGATGGCAGGTATGCTTGTAAATTTTTTTTTCTTTTGTCTTTTTGAGACAGGGTCTCCCTGTAGCCCCAGCTGTCCTGGAACTCACTATGTAGACCAGGCTGGCCTTGAACTCACAGAGATCTGCCTGCCTCTGCCTCCCAAGTGCTGGGATTAAAGGCCTGAGCCACCATAGCCAGCTTTGGGAGTGGGATGGTGATGGTGAAGAAGCTATCATTTGCTGTGCTTTACCAATTTCCAAAGTGTAAATACTGACACTACCATAGGTGCCCATATACTAGTATGACATCACTGCCAGACTCATCTGATCCTAACAGTCTGACTTGTAGATGAATGTAGGTGGTTCTCTGGCTTCTGTGTTGGGGAAATTGGTAGAAGGTGATGCTATTAACTTATAAAATATAAGAACGTGACGACTGTTGGGATGGCAGGAGCAGATTATATGTTGAGATTATAAAGTTTTATTTATTTTTGTAGTGCTGAGAGTCAAAAAATCTCATGCATGCTAGGCAAATAGTAACACCACTGAGCTATATCCCAGCCAAGACTATGATATTTTAAACTTGCAGTACTAGGAAGAAATTTCTAGCAGTCAGCAGACAACTAGGCCTGGAGCTCCAGAGAATGATCTAGGATAGACAGATAAACTGCAGAGGCATCAACAACCTAAGGACTCAGTTAAAACTATAAGATTATCCAAGTAACATATGAGGCAAGAGGAGAGTGTGGACAAGCACTGGCACCCAAGGAGTAGGAACAGCCTATGGCAGGATGTTGATAATATTAATGGTCATAAAGAACTGGACAAAAGAGTCTTTAAAACTTAGAGAGGGGAGGGCTGGAGAGATGGCTCAGAGTTTAAGAGTACTAGCTGCTCTTGCAGAAGACTCAGGTCCGATTCCCAGTACCCACATGGTGACTGACAACTGTCAGTAACTCCAGTTCCAGAGGATCCTATGCCCTCTTCTGACCTCTGCAGGCACTGCATGACATGAGTGCACTTATACACATACAGTTGCTACACTCATACACATAAAATAAAATAAGTAAAATACTTTTAAAAACTTAGAGAGGAGATACTCACAAAATCAGTGGGTGAGAGCACCATGTGCCCTAGGATGGCCAGGTGATGGTAATAAGTACTAAAGGGAGGAGAAGAGATTGATCAGTAGGTGGCCAATGGCCTTTCCCTGAGAACATTAGCAGGGTGCCGGGAGCAGAGACCAGGCTGGGGTTGGTTGAAAAGTGCAACAGAAGCAAGTAAGTAGAAGCCATTCTTGGGCCTGTCTGGAATCTCCCATAGTCATATGGGGTCTCGGGAGCTTCATAACCAAGTTAGCAAGTTTCACCCACAGCATTCCTGCAGTCTCTGAGCAGGAACCTTCAAATTCGGAAGAGAATCCAGAGACAAACTGCCCACATTCTTGATCCAGCTTCCAATGTGCTTGTCTTGCTGGAGCTTCATATCTACTGGAAGGAGAGGGACCCAGTGCCTGCCAAGCAGCCAGAATGAGGGCCAGATTCCGAGGGGGTCAGGGTTCCAGCAGGATAATAAGAAGGCTTAAAGACTGAGTCATGGCCAAAGCCCATTAAGGAGTAGCAGGAGTCAAGTACTGGTGAGACCAAGTATAAATATCCAGCCCAGGCGGCAAGGAGCAGAAACCTGGCATAGCCCCAGGGCCTAGAGTCAGGGCAAGAACATTACTGGAGTAAAGACAGGACAAGGGTGCAGGGTGCCAAGGCTTGTGCTCTAAATGTCAGCTGGCACTTGGAGTTCCACTTTATGGCAGGCTGGCTCAAAGACCTAGAAGGAGAAGACACTTTCTTACAAAGGCCATGTGTGGAACTGGAGAGACAGCTCAGCAGTTAAGAGCACTAGCTGCTCTTACAGAAGACCCAAGTCCAGTTCCCAGCACCCACGTGGTAACTCCAGTTCCAAAGGATCTAACACCCTCGTATGGCCTCTGCAGGCATTGTATCCATGTGGTGCATATACATACATGCAGGCAAAACATAAACATTAAAAAAAATCAGGCATAGTAGTGCATACCTTTAATCCCAACTGTGAGAGGCAGAGGCAGGTAGAGCTCTGTGAAATTGAGACAAGACTTGTCTACATGGAAAGTTCCAGGCTACCTGGGTCTACAGGGAGACCGTCTCAACAGATGGGGGAGAGGCATGCATATGGCGAAGACTTGAGCAGGATGCTCACAGATGATGCAGATGCTGTTTCTTATTTTCTCTTCCTTTTCCACCAGCAACATCTCATCAAATTGCCTTTGACTAGAAGAAACTAAGCCAAGAATGCCTTTTTCTGCCATGTTGGTTTAATCCATGATATACTCCAGGACAACTGTCTTCTACTAGTTGAGTTCTAAGTCAGCTGAAGAGCTTTAAAAAATCCTGATGCCTTAACTGCACCTTATAGATTAGAATTTCAGGTGGTAGAACCCAGAGCACTGAGGTGAATAGATAGCCAACATCAGATTTTGTTGATGGGGCCCCTGCTTTGTTAGTATTTTAGTCCATCTCTGTATGTAGTACTAATGTACTATACATTCACCCAAGAATTCTCTATACATTGTTTTCTGGTTTTGATCATTGTTAAGGAATGGTAAGTTTGAGTTTATGATGTCAATCAAAAGAAAATCTGCATTACTTGATTGGCTGGAGCCAGGGTGATAGCCACTGAGGACACTATGACGAAGCATGTATTTGTGACATCACTTACAGAGAAATCCTTTTAGGGATCATCCTGAGATCACAGGCCTGAACTCAAACTGGACCTTCATGGACTCAGCCTGTCAATTTATTATGCATTCCTTCACCAGGAGCCTTCTCTACCGCAGAAATTATGGCACTCTCAAACCAGCAACAGCCGACCATAAAGGGCCCGTGAGCCACCCATGGGATTCTAGAAGTTCTACTTACAAATCATGATTACTGTATGCACTAGAGTTAGTTTCAAGGGCCTAAAAGGAACATTTACATGAAATCTCAAACTGGTACTTCCCCCAGAATGACCCGGCCAGTGCTAATAATAGGATGAAATGTGTATGGTTAATAAGGGCCCAATGTCATGACCTTCTGAATCTAGCAATCCCTTTGATGTAAGCCCAGTATCTCTGCGCTCTTTCATGTGCCTACAAACCCTCCATACCATTCCCTATGACCTGCTCAGAGACCAAGGTACACCATCAAAGAAGAATCAGACCTCTTCCACACTGCTCCACATTGCTCCTGCTCAAAGTCACCCCAGAACACAATGAGCCTTCTCTCAAGTAAAACAAGAATTGAGAAAACTGCTTCCTAGGGGATAGGATTCAAGGTGTATCGACTTTGGCCCAAACTCATTAACTAGAATCAGTACCTAGGAACAAATGAAGTCCGGCCCCGACTCTGATTCTCTCTCAGTCTGTCCTGCTGCTTCTGGGATGGTCTTGCCTTTGTCACCTAGCCAGTGTTCACAGTTAGCTGTGTCATATCAGCTATGAGAGCCTGCTGTGTACCTGCTACTGGGCGTATATGTGACCTAAACAATTGGGCTTAACTCTCACACTCTGATGAAAGTACTACTGTTATCCACATTTTATAGACAAAATAACAGAGACTCAGAGAGACTAGTGGCACAGTCCATGGAGGGCAGAGCTGGAATTCAAACTCACAGTTTCTGGGTTTCAATGTGCCTACTCTATTACTCTTCTCTGTTTCTGATACACTTCTGCTGCTTCCTCAGAACCCAGTGGTAGTTTAGCTGACATATTTGGGTTAAAGTCTGCAGGCGTCCCCACTCCTTCCTTTTCAGACCCTTTAAATGCATTCACTCACTTCCTCTCTCACCTCCTCCCTCAGATTTGGTGTGTCTGTGGTCCAAGCCAAACTAGCTCTGACAGTTGGTAGATGCACAACGTATCAGAGCAGCTTCTTATAGATGAAGATGTGTACCCGGTGCTGGGGGGTAATCCATCTATGATCATGATATCGAACAAACATCTTTCAAGTATAGAACTAACTATTCCCTCTGTTTCATTGAGTCATCTAACTTCTTCCTTGCCCAAACTGGGACTTCATAAATTAATTTACATGTTTTCAAGCAACACATTCAAACTTGCATTCATTTTTACTAAAGTACTAGAAAGCTCTAAAATTGACTGCAGGGTATGGATTCAGAATATTATTCATGTTTGAAAAAATAAAGAAGATACATTAGTAGGCTTAGATCATCAGTTTCAGAAAGCTATTGTGAAAACCTTTTATTTGTGACTGATTTCTTGTGCTCACCCTTCTTTCTCCGCCCCCTCCTCCCC